AGTCACTCCCTCCCCTGGCCTCCGCTCCCTGCTGCCCAGGGCCCGCCTCCCACAGGGCAGGGACATGGAGAATCAGCACCCCGGCCTGCTCTGCCCTGGGTCTGACCTAGCCCACCCACTGTACCCAGAGCAGCTAGGGTGACACTGTGGGTCCGGTCAGGTGGTTCCAGGTGACCACACCCCGGAGGGCTGGGCTACCCGGGCTCCCATCTCCCCACAGTGGTGGTAACCCCCTAAGTTTGCCTTCTTATTTCGGACCCCAGAGTCCCCAGGGCAGCACTTGTCCTCCGGGCCAAGGCCGTAGCCCCACCCCCTGCCTCTCCGAGTCCCATCCCCCCCAGGACACCAGTTCCTCAACTGCTCAGAGACTTCCGGTTTGGCTGGCCGAGCCCAGCTTGTGACCAGCAGCCTGAGGTGTCTGATTCTTTCCTGTTCTGAGGTCTGGCGTCCGGCCAGGCCCCTGCCTTCTGATTAGCAAGCCTGACATTGTGGTCTCCACAGCCATTCTGCTCATTGGGACAGAATAGCTTCCCCTCAGAAAGGGTCCGTCCACGCCCCACCGGGGACGCAGGTGCAGCGCACACGAGGGTCCGTCCACCAGGCCCGGACTGGATCCTCCCAGGGCTGGGCCGTGCCGCTCTGAGTCAGGTCCCAGCCAAGCGCTGACAGCCCACGTGAGCTGGGAGAAAAGCGTCGCTTCTCCCCGGCCCTGTGACGGCCCACGCTCCACACGGGTGACCCTGGCACCCCACTGGTTCTCCCGGCCGGCTCGGCTGCTTCAGCTCAGAGCCCAGTGGGCCAGCGGATGGAGGGGGGGCTCCAGGCCCGAGCTGTCCTCTCCGGGAGCTGGGGCAAGGGCTGCCCTGGAGGTCCCCTGGCTTCTTCTGGGATGTCCTGAGCTCCTCCGCTCCGCGGCTAGGGAAGAAGCTCGGCACATTTGTGGGGGCCCAGCCCGGCTCCCCTGCCCCTCTGCATGGCCTCTCTGGACCCGGTTGCTTCCTGCAGGGTGAGGGGTGGGACTAGACAAGCTTCAGGGTCTCTTTAGCCACTCGATGGGACCTCAGTGGAGGGGATACGCACCCAAGCAGACCCTCAGACCTTCGGGGGGGCCCTCCGGGCCAGGGGACCTCACACAGATTCTGCAGGGCTCCTAATTGCCCAGAAACCAAAACACCCAAACACACCCCCATCATAGCGACCCCTCCTTGGGTTTCCGAGGCAGTATCACTATGGAAGTGAATGGCCCAACCTCCTTTCCAAGGAGTGGCTGGTGGGTTTGAACGGCCAGCCTTCTGGTCAGCAGTCACATGCCTTGGGCACTACACCACCAGAGCTCCCCATAATTGCCCAGTGGTGTGCTTTGTCTGTTCATTCAGCCGCCACCCACTAAGACACCTGCCCGGGTGTCATACCCACAGAAAGGTGATGCCTGCCAGGAGTCAGGCCCACCCGGGTACCATATCCACCCAGGTTTTATGCCCGCCCGGGTCCCGTACTCACCCAGGGGACATGCCTACCTGTGTACCATGCCCACCCAGGAGTCACGCCAGCCTGAGTATAATGTTCTCCCAGGTGTCATGCCCACCCAGACACCACTGGCCCGGGTACTGCAGACAAACCCTGGGTCTACCTGTTCCCCAGCCCCACCTCATCCTGTCCTCTCTCTCCCTCCCTCCCCAGCGGACGATGGGGGCTTTGAGAGTGGCGCGTACAACAACAGTGCCATTGCCACCCCACACCTGGACGCCTTGGCCCGCCGCAGCCTGGTCTTCCGCAACGCCTTCACCTCCGTGAGCAGCTGCTCTCCCAGCCGCGCCAGCCTCCTCACCGGCCTGCCCCAGGTGGGGGACAGGAAGAGGAGGAGAGGGGAGGGTCCCCGAGGCAGGAGAAGGGAGAGATAGAACCAGGGCCCAGGCCCAGTCTCCCTAATGATGCCACCCACCTGCCTTCCGTGTCCCAACCCACGCCTGGTAGCGCCTTGATACAGTGGGGTTGACAGAACCCTCTGGCAGCCTAGCGGGACAGTCAGAGTGCAGGCAGGGCATCCCGGCGGCCACTGTGAGCGGTGGCTCTCTGCTCTGTGTGACCTCGTGTAAATAACTTCTCTTCCTGCACGTGGGCTTCTTCATCCGTAAAACGGGTGTCGCCATGACGCATCTCTTGTGGGACTGCTATGGGGATCGAGTGACTTCCTGTTGTCTATCCCTAGTGCCTGGCACCCACCCCGTACCAAGTAGTACAGTTTATGTGTCTAACACGTACAGCTGCTCCTGTTACAGTATAAGGAAACTAGGGGACAAAAGGGGCTATTGCTGCCTTTTTTGACTTGGCAACATGGGGTCGGCCTAGAAAACTTGGGAAGTACAGAAGAGCAGAAAGAAGAAAATGAAGGCTCCCGTGGTTGTGGGGGACCCCCTTCCCGTCTGGTCTCTTTCCTGCTGACGCCTCTTTCACCAGGGGGACCTGTGGGCCTGGTGGGCAGGGAGTTGGGAGGCTGAGAGAACCTCATTGGGTGCTGGTCACCTGACGTCTCCTCAGGGACCCAGGGAGGGCCCCTCTGCTGAACCCTGGGAGGGCAGGACGGGGGGCGGGGCTTGGCTGCGGGCCTCACCCAGGGGACCTGCACCACAGCACCAGAACGGCATGTACGGCCTGCACCAGGACGTCCACCACTTCAACTCCTTCGATACGGTACAGAGCTTACCGCTGCTGCTCCGCCAGGCCAGCATTCGCACAGGTGAGCGCTCAGGACCTGGGGCGACCACAGGATGAGCACCCCACCGAGGCCAGGCCAGGCGGGAGGGCACGCCTTGTCCTCCCGTCACCTGCCCTGAGCACCTGGCTGGGCTCTGGCTCCATAGGAACCAAGCATCGGGGTGCTTGGGTGGCTAGAGCCGGGCCGAGCAGCTGGGGGCCAAGGAGTGGGGAGTGGGGGAGGCTGCAGGTGCCTTGGACAGCCCCTCTGCCCACCCCGCCCCAGGCATCATTGGGAAGAAGCACGTGGGGCCCGAGGCGGTGTACCCATTCGACTTCGCGTACACGGAGGAGAACGGCTCCATCCTGCAGGTGGGGCGGAACATCACCAGAATCAAACTGCTGGTCCGGGAGTTCCTGCAGTCGCAGGACGGCAGGTGGGTCGGCGCCCCTGGGCCTCCCCACGTGTCCAGACCTGGCGGGGTTGGTCCTCACTCAGCCTGCATCTTCAGATGGGACTCATGGGGTCCCAGACTGCCGGAGTGGAGGGTTCCAGGTGCTCCATCTCACCTGGGCAGAGGAGGGGACACGAGGCGGTGAGGGACACGCGGGTTTAGGGTTTAAGAGAGCCAGCAGAGCTGAGAGGCTGGCTTTTCCCTGGAGGATGGGGGTCCCCCAAGAAGAGAGTCAAGCACTCACCAGCCCAGGTGGTTGACGCGCCGACCTGGCCCCACACCTCAGCCCCCTCCCTCCATCACAGGCCCTTCTTCCTCTATGTCGCCTTCCATGACCCCCACCGCTGTGGGCACTCCCAGCCCCAGTATGGAGCCTTCTGTGAGAAGTTTGGCAATGGGGAGAGTGGCATGGGGTTCATCCCAGACTGGACGCCCCAGACCTACAACCCCCAGGACGTGCAGGTAGGACGGGCCCCATGCCACGTCTTGCCTTTGCAGTCTCGGGGACCCTGCCCCCCTGTGCTTGCGGCCCCCAACCCCAGCCTGGTGTGGTTCAGTGAGAAAAGCCCTCTGACTAAACTGGCCCCAGGACCCGTCTGCAGGGTTGGCAGAGTGACATGTGAAGACTGAAGCTGTGTGGGTGTTCTGGGCTAGTCCGTGCCCAGGAAGGAATGGGGTTGGCTCTGTGAGCAAGGCTGGCAGCTCAGCTCCTCCCCCAGCTCTAGGGCTGGGCTGCCCTCACCTTGGCTCCCACCCACCCGACCTCCCCAGGTGCCATACTTCGTCCCGGACACCCCAGCTGCCCGAGCCGACCTGGCCGCACAGTATACCACCATCGGCCGCATGGACCAAGGTGGGGCCATGGCGCCAGGCAGGCGGGAGAGTGGACGCCACCACCCACCCCACTGTGGGGGGTTGTACCTGTCATGTCCATGGGGGTGCTGTTAGTTCCTGGGGACCTGTGAAGGGGATGGGTGTGGAGGGAACCCTCCTCCAGACCACGTCTGGCCCTGGTGACCCCCAGAAGCCGCAGAAAGCAGTATAGGGTGCAGACCACACGGACGTGCTGGGAGGGACCACGGTCCCTGAGGGGCATGGGCCGGAGCCCGAGCAGGGCCTGTTTGGGGGCGGGCAGTGAGGAGGACAAGGGGCAGGAAGGATGGCAGGGTGTGGAGGACGACGGGAGGGCGACGGGTGGGGAGGAGAGTGGGCTGGGAATGACAGCAGGGCCGGGGGTAGCCAGGAGGCTGAGGGCTACAGGATGCCTTAAGGAGATGGCGGCGCAGGGTCCTGAGGCAGGACGAAGGTGGCACACCGGCCCCCTGCCATGGCTGTGTTGAGCCCTGCTCCCCCGCATCCCGGCTGCCTGCAGGGATAGGCCTCGTGCTCCAGGAGCTGCAGCAGGCCGCCGTCCTGAACGACACCCTGGTGATCTTCACATCCGACAACGGGGTGCCCTTCCCCAGCGGCAGAACCAACCTGTACTGGCCGGGCACTGCAGAACCCTTGCTGGTGTCGTCCCCAGAGCACCCGCGCCGATGGGGCCAAGTCAGCGAGGCCCACGTGAGCCTCCTAGGTAGCGCTCCGCCTGTCTTGGCGGGGGAGGGGCGGAGCTGATGCTTAACGGACCAGGCTCTGGCCACAGTCAACGGTGCTCTGCACCCAGTACCTTGTGTGGTTCTCACACCACCTGGGCGAGGAAGGGATGGGCTCCCCCACTTCACAGGTGAAGACAGTGAGGCTCAGAGAGGTATAGTCAGTTGCTCAGGGTCACACAGCTTATGCATGCAGAGCTAGGGTCCGGCCTGAGTCTCACTACCTTCTAGGCCATCACTTTCTCACTCTGCCAGCGGCACTCAAATGCTGACCCACAGCTGAGCCATCAAGAAGGCTTGTTAAATCCAGGCTGTAAGCTCCGCAGCCGGGGACTCTGACTTGAGATCGGGGGCAGGCCACTGGGAGCTCTGGTGGCGCAGTGCCTAAGGTATCTGACTGCTATCCAGAAGGCTGGCGGTTCAAACCTACCAGCCGCTCCCTGGAAGGAAGACTAGGCAATCTACTTCTGTAGTGATACCGCTTCGGAAGCCCAAGGAGGGGTCACTGTGAGTCGGAACCGACTTGACGGCAGTGAGTTTGGTTTTCGGTTTGGGGCAGGCTGAGAATCTGTTTCTTCCAAGTCCCCAGGTGAGGCTGCTGCTGCTGTTCTGGGGACCCACTCTGAGAACCCTGCTCCCCATCATGCTGCCTCCCCAAGGGTCCTATACCTTGAAGAGGGCCTGGGGTGTCCCCTCCCACATGATAGATACAAGGAGGAGAGGAGACGGAGACAGGGCAGATGACAGGACTCCACAGCTTCTGTTAGGGGCCCGACATCCCCCCAGCAGGGCTTAGGTCAGCCCTCGAAGGCAGGCCAGGGCCCCGGAGAGCCTGGCTCCTGAGACGCCATTTCCTTTCCAGATCTGACCCCCACCATCTTGGACTGGTTCTCCATCCCTTACCCCAGCTACGCCATCTTTGGCTCGAAGACCGTGCGGCTCACCGGCCGGTCCCTGCTGCCGGCGCTGGAGTCGGAGCCGCCCTGGACCACCGTCTTTGGCAGCCAGAGCCTCCACGAGGTCACCATGTCCTACCCCATGCGCTCTGTGCAGCACGGCAGTGTCCGTCTGGTGCACAACCTCAATTTCAAGATGCCCTTCCCGGTCGACCAGGACTTCTACGTCTCCCCCACGTTCCAGGACCTGCTGAACCGCACCAGGGCTGGCCAGCCCACAGGCTGGTATAAGGACCTCCACCACTACTACTACCGGGAGCGCTGGGAGCTCTACGACCTCAGCCAGGACCCCCACGAGACCCGGAACCTGGCTGATGACCCACGCTACGCCCAGCTCCGGGAAGTGCTGCAGACCCAGCTGGCCAAGTGGCAGTGGGAGACCCAGGACCCCTGGGTGTGTGCGCCCGACGGGGTCCTGGAGGAGAAGCCTTCTCCCCAGTGCTGGCCACTCCACAACGAGCTGTGAGCGCCCCAGACAGCACACGCCCCTTCCTCCCGACACGTCCCTGCGGCCGCTGTCTCAGCTGGTGATAGGGAGAAGGCAGCTTCTGCCTTAAGAACAGAGCAGGTAATGTGCCTGGCCGCGTCCCCTCCCCAGGGTGCTGCCACCACTGTAGGGCCACCACAGTTGAGTCCATGCTGTGTCCCAGCACAGGAATTGTGGGGGGATGTGGGACGGGGCAGGGTCCCAGCCTGTGACGAGATGAGGACGCTCAGGGAGAGAAGTCTCGTTTGCTGGGTTGGTTTGGGGACCTGGAGGGAGCACGGGACCTGCTCTGCAACCCACAGCTATTTCAGAGCCATCACCTTGAGGGGCGGCTTCTGTGGGCCCGAGCACACGCACTGTGGGGACGTCTCTTTGAAAGATGCTTGGGCTTGTTTCTGATCCCTTCGTTCTGGCCCATGTGGCATTCTTGACCCCACTGTTGGGTTTACACTAACCCACCAGTTCCCTGCAGGGCCCCTGAGGTGACAACTTTCAACTTGATGGACAAAGCTCACCTTTCCTTTCGGAGAGGCCAGGGATGGAAACACCCCACCCTCCTGGCTCGGTTTAGTGCTTCGTGGACAAGCACCGATGTCTATGATAGGAAATTTCTTCTAGAATGTTCCATACCCACCCTCCCTCTACCTCCCATGGCAGCAGTAGCTCTACTAGGGAAACCCTAACAAGGCAGTAGGCCCCCGTCTTGTAAAAACTCTTTACTTTAACAAATACAGAGAATTTCATCTTCTAAATGTGGCTGTGATGGTAACAACCTAAACTCTAGGGCGGCGTCCTTCGGGGGGCACCGCTGTCAAAGGAACTTGTGGTCCATGAGGGTCCCGGGAGGTGGGGAACGAGGCCATGTGGTGGGGACTCTGGAGGTAGGAGGAGGAAGCTTTGTCCCGGAGGCTGAGGTGCAGGTAGGAAGGCAGGTGGTCTCACGCACAGGAAGACCTGGTCGATGCTTGTGCAGAGGGTCTTTGAGCCGGTGTCTCCAGGACCCACATGGCACGGTTCCAGGGCCTGACCCTGTGGTCAGCACGCCCAGGCCTCTCAGATACCAGTTCCGTCAACTTGGAAACTACAGGTACCTCCAGTCTCTGTCCACTAGGGTTACAAAGGCACTCCTCAGCCATTGGGAGCTGAGAGAAGTTAGCCCAGTGATGGTGAGGGGGTCTGTCTGCTGCTCTGGGCAGGACGCAGGGGCCCTGTGGGCACAGGGCTGCTGGCCCGCGGCTCAGTGGGTTTGAACAGCCCTCTGACATGTTGAACGTGAAATGATGGTGCTAGCAGGCTGCTGAAAGGCAGTTAGACATCCACAGACACGTCTGCGGTCTCTTGCTCTGGGGAGACGGTGCACTCCACAAGGCCCCCGGGTCTGCGATCACACCACGCTCCGGAGAGGGGAGATGGCTCACACAGACTGGTGAACAGACAGGAGGGGCTGTCCTGTGGGTGAACTGCACCGGCCAGAGTTCAAGGTCAGACCTGGGCACCCACGAGCTGGGCTTGTGGGGTCAGCACCCCTTGATGGTGCTGGCTCTCTGCTCTGACCCTGAGGCCACAGTGGGGTCTGCATAAGCAGGGACGTGGAGGGGACAGCACCGGCATCAGTAGGGGCTCTGCTCTGTCCACACGATCATCTTCTGTGCGTCTGCGATGGCCGCGCGGGCACCGCTGAGCAGGGAATCCAGGTCACTCCAGCTGTCGGGGACCAGGCTGCTGTACAGACAGGGCGCCCTGTCCAGGTCCCCTTCCTCCTGCCTGGCTGCCTCCAGCAGCTGCTCCTCCGACACCCCGAGACGCTGCAGGGCCTTCCTGCAATGGGGGCAAGGCCAGCAGGTTTAGGGGCACAGAGGCCAGGAAGGCAGAGTCTGGGCCAGACACCAGGCCAGAGGCGCAGACGCCAGTGGCCACACCCTGGTAAGAGGCCCCACCTCGAGGGACAGAGACCACGGGACCTGAGCTCAGCTGACCTGGTCCGTCAGCCAGGCCCCAAATGACGTTTCCCTGATTGGAGGGAGGGTCTAGTTTACAACCTTCAGTGAAGGAGGGCAGTGGGCCCTCACAGTTCCTTCCCCAGGTGTAAACCAGGAAGTGGCCGATGTTGCCGTGGTCTCAGCTAGCACAGGGCAGACTGGGAGCCCGTGTCCCCGGGCATGTGCGGCCCCTCGCATCTCCTCGCTCAGTTAGGGTGGGCTGCTCCCCAGGGACGGCGCGACAGCTGTCCAGGGAGGAGTTGGGTAACTGCCCTGCTGGCAGCTCCAGGGGCCGGAGTTGGGGACTTCCTGGGAACCAGAATGTGCCCAAGGCCCGAGGGCGGAGCTTGAGGGCACCCGGGGACCAGTCCACTGCTCGGGGGTGGGGGGTGGGGAGCACCTACTTGAGCCTCTTGGCGGCCTTCTCGGTGGTGGGGACGTGCACCACAATGGGAAAGATCTCCCGGCTGTGCAGTGCGGAGACGCCGGCCAGCCCCAGGTCCAGGAGGCCGTGGACGTTCTGGGGACGGGAGGGGAGGTGAGCCACGGCCTCGGGGCCGTGCGAGGAGCCCCCCTCCCCCGGCTGCTGAGCAGAGAGGAGGCTCTGCGCTTTCTCCGGCCGCGTGGAGCACCTCAGAGTCCCCTCCCAGCTTTTCACCCGAGTGGGCGTGGCCAACGCGCTCAAAGCCCATCTACCTCCGAGGGCAAGAGGCGGCCCGCGGCTGCCTCCCAGCCTGTATCCCGGTAACTATAACCGTGCAAGTATAGCCTCTCACGTATTTGAGCCTGAAGACGACCTTGCAGGGCAGGCGTGGGGAGGGTGGCAAAAACCCCAAACCGAAACCCGCGGCCTGCGGTTGTGGAGTCGGTCCCAGGCCGACGATGGTGCTGTGGAGCGGAGCGGCGCCAGGCCTCTCCTCCTCTGTGCTGCCGGGCTGGCGGGAGCCAGCCTCCAGGTTAGCAGCGGAGGGCAAGCTGTGCCGCTCAGGGACCGGGGAGCGCGGCTCCCCACCAGTCACTCATTTAACAGGTCCTGATGAGACATCTCCGGAGTTGGGGAAACCAGAGTGTAGGGCAGTGGGAAGGCCGCCCAAGCTCACGTGGTCTCAGGCGCCAGCCGCAGGGTGTGGTTCCCCACTCGGCTCCCACTGAGCCACAGACGGTGGGGGCCTGAGGCGCGGCACGTCCCCTGACGTCCTGGGCAGCCAACTGCAGCCCCACCCGTGTCCTGACCCACGCCACCCTAGGGATGGCTTCTGCCCGGTATGCCCGAATCAGCTGGGCTTTGGCGAGAGGCCTGCCCTCACCCCACTGCCCTCCTCTGGGTGGACCCAGGCCCACCTTCCCCATGAGAGACTCCACAGCCGGGCGGGTCACCCAGCAGCAGCTGCCGGGCCCCTCTAGCTCCTGGATGATGTCCCCTCTCTGGATTCGGGTATCATACTCCTCCTGGCTCAAGTGCTCTGCAGGTGACAGCAGAAGGGACGGGCCATCGTGTGGCCTGCGGTTCAGGGAGTGAGGCTCCACCCCGCACCCTCCCCCAGGGCCGCCACCTCATGCTGTCCTCAGGATCCGCCTCCCCTGCCGACCGGCCCTCCACGGTCTGCACAGAGCCCAGCACCCAGTCGGCACTTACTAAGGGGACTTCTGGGGCTCGCTTGTTTCCCTGTCTCTGCCCGCCTGGGGAACCCGGAAGAGCGGGGCCTCCTGACCGCCTGTCTTCACCTGACGCCTCAGCCGGCCAGGGCTAGGTGGCCAGGGCTGCGTACATGTGAAGTGGGAACGGCTCCAGCTCCTTTCTGGCCGAGCGGAGCACACCCTGTGTCTGTCCCTTGGAGCCAGGACCCCACTGGCCGGCTCCTCTCTGTGAGCTGCGAAGGGCAGCTTTATGCGGGGTGACGGAGCCCTGCGGCTCACTCCTTGGTGAAGACCTGCCCACTCGCCACCAGCAACCGTGCCGTGTTCAGTGGTGTTGCCCAAATCCCTGTCCACCCAGAACCTCACAATGTGGCCTTATCTGGGAATAGGGTCTCTGCAGATGTCATCGGTTGGGACAAGGTTAGACTAGATTAGGGTGGGCCCTGAATCTGATGACAGGTCTCCTTACGAGAGCAAAGGAGCTGGACGTGTGAGACAGGGAGGTGGCAAAGGTGGAGTGATGGGACCGCAGGCCAAGGGGGATTGGCCACCGCAGGGGCTGGAGGGG